TTTGTCACTGTTACTTGGGTGTCAGCAATGTCCGGGAGTGCCTGGTCCCACTGGGCGGGCAGTTGGAAGCAGAGCTGTCACCTGGCCTCGGGGTGTCGGATCCTGCTGCCGAACTCCGTATGGTCACTTGTGTCAGATGACTCTGAGCAGCGACGACAGGAGCCGGAAACATTCCCTGGCCTACCTGGGCTGGTGGATGGAGGCCGGGCTGCCTCTGGGTGTGTGGTGTTCGGAACCCACCGCCACCGAACTGGGTCCAGCACGCAGGTCGCTTGCGTCAGATGACTTTGAGCAGCAATGAGGAACCGGAACCGGAAACAGTTCCTGGCTTACCTGGGCCTGAGGATGGAAGCCAGGCTGCTTCTGTGTGTTCGGTGTTGGTAACCCGTCACCGCCGAACTGGGTCTGGCACGTTGGTCCCTTGCTTCAGATGCCTAATAAGATTTTAAATATAAACTATAAAATACAGTTTTGAAACTTTGCAGGAAAATATTTGTCCTCCCAGATTCTTAGCTATAGTCTAGAATATAAAAAGATAAGATGAAAGTGACTTATTTATATGTAAGAGTTTGATATGCATGTTTGTATTTGCCATTGCAGATAGAACATTGATATTCCAAGGGCTGATTAATAGAATTGCACCTTTTCAGCTATAAGCTACTTATTTATTTAATAATAAATTATTTAACTGTAGCAGTAATCAAAATCAATAAAAATTACTTTGTGGTATAGTTCTACTTCTTTTTCTCTATAGATTTATTGGTTTTATAGTGTTCTAAATGTTATTCTCTTTTCATTCTTTAATGTTGTGGTAATATAAAACACAAATGGATAAATTATGTGAGGGTAAATTAAATATGCCCGTCATTGAATGTATGTTTATTTTTTGAGACACAGTCTCATTGTATAGCCTTGTTTAGCCTAAAACTCACTGTGTAGACCAGGTTGTCCTCAAATTCATAGTTTTCTGCTTCCTGAGTGCTGGGACTAAAAGTATGTTACACTATGCATGACTGCTTATTTGATTAAAACCCTCTCTTTTTTTTAAAAGCAAAATTAAAAAGTAATATTGTATTATTTCTAGGCAAAGTGCTCTTAGGAGAAGAAGAAGCCTTGGAAGATGACTCAGAGTCCAGGTCAGATGTCAGCAGCTCCGCCTTTGCAGGTAGTTGTCATCATTTGTGAGCAGCCAGTGTCAGCCTTCACTTACTACCCACTATCTCATGCCCCTTCATCACCTCAGCCTGCAGATGGCATTGCAGGGCAGGGGTGGCCTGATCAGAAAGTGGCTTTTATAATTCAGATGCTTTTATAATGTTCACTCTGTGTGGCTGTGAGCTTTTCTTGTTTTAGGCTATTCAAAAGTTGATTAATATCCTTGAGCATATATTGTGGTAGGGGATGATAGGTAAAGTTGTCTCATAAGTCAGATGGGCTATGATTAGGACAGTGGGTTGAAGAACTGTCTGTGGGTAAATTTAACTTGAAAGAGTGTGTTTTTATTTGCAAGTAGTTATGTAAGATTATTTGTGTTCTCTATAAAACACAGTTATTATTTTAAGACACTAATAGCTATATAAAATGCCATCAGCTTTGGTTATGTTTACTTTTAGGTAAATAAAAACAAGACTGAGATACTTGGGAAGGAAAACTTGAGTAATGTCAATTGGACACCCCCACCCCCACCCCAAGCTTATAAGATAAAAACGTCAGTAGAACAAGAATTTTGGCCTGCCTAAACTAGTATAAAACTCAATTGCCTGTGACCCTGTTGCCTTCACTGGGCCACTGCTTATACCTTGTTGATGTTTTTTGAAGTGATGTTGTTTTTGTAATGTTTTATTTCATAAAACAAGCCATGCTGTCAGCTTTCTAAAAGCATGCACTTTTATTGTTACAATCTGCTGTTCCCAACTATCAGCACTTTCCATTTCCTGCAATACAAATCAACCACTTTCTTTTTGTAAGTCTGTAAAACAGTTAAGGATGAATAAATGTTAAGTATTGGATTTTAGAATGGGCACTGAAGTGGTTTTGATCTCACATAGTGTTTGTCTGTAAGTAGGAATTTTAAAATTAAACTAGGAAAATATGGAGTGTGTTTATCCTGTAGGAGGCTAGGACTGGAGTGGAGATGAACAGGATGTGGAAAAAAGCAAGACTACCCTAAAGGGCTGATGCATTCACTGTTGTTCTGTTGTTAACTTGTTTAGAGTTACTGGGAGTCTCCTTGTGTCCCTGACCCAGCTGCCTCTGTGTTACACATATCCTGTTTGTGGCTTTAGAGTTGCTAAAGAACCCGAATTTGGGTTTTGTGATAAATGGAACACATTTGAGAATACTTGCAGCCACAAAGAATCTGCTTGTTTTGAGACCCACAGCTAAGCACTGAGCCGAATTCCTGGAATCCAGTTGTAGAGAGTAGGAGTGATGAGGAAAGGTGTCAAGACCAGGCTGGGGAAACCCACAAAAACAGCTGACCTGAACAAGAGGGAGCTCAGGGACCCCAGACTGATAGCTGGGAAACAAGCATAGGACTGATCCAGACCCCCTGAACGTAAGTGTCAGTGAGGAGGCCTCGGCAATCTATGGGGCCTCTGGTAGTATCAGTATTTATCTCTAGCATATGAATGGACTTTGGGAGCCCATTCCACATAGAGGGATACTCTCTCGGCTTCAACACATAGGGGAGGGCCTAGGCCCTGCTCCAAAGGATAAGAAGACTCTGAAGGATACCCTATGGAAGGCCTCACCCTCTCTATGGAGCAGAAGAGGGATGGGATGGGGGTCAGTGCGGGTCATGGGAGAATGGAAGGGAGAGGGAACTGGGATTGATATATAAAATAAGATTGTTTCTAATTTAAATAAAAAAAAACAAAAAAATTATTTCCAAAATGGCAACCCTAAATAAACCTTATCTTAAAAAAAAAAAAAAAAAAAGAATCTGCTTGTTTCAACCAGTTCTGCTGTGCTGCTGAGTCTTTTCTTCACTGTGCTCCAGGCTGTTTCATAGCTAGAACATTCAATACAGTGAACTTTTTTATCATTTTGCATACCTTTGATTTTTAGCTACTGTTTCCTCTAGCCACTTGACAAATAAGTTTCTCTGTGTCTTTAGCCTCTGTGAAGAGTGAAATTGGTGGAGAGCTCGCTGCTTCTTCGGGTGTCTCCACTCCTGGTTCTGTAGGTCATGACATCATCACTGAACAGCCTCGGTCCCAGCACACACTTCAAGCAGACTCTGTGGATTTGTCAGGCTGTGACTTGACCAGTGCTGCTACTGATGGGGATGAGGAGGACATCTTGAGCCACAGCTCCAGCCAGTTCAGTGCCGTTCCATCTGACCCTGCCATGGACCTGAATGATGGGACCCAGGCCTCCTCACCCATCAGTGACAGCTCTCAGACTACCACTGAAGGGCCTGATTCAGCTGTGACTCCTTCTGACAGCTCCGAAATTGTGAGTGGGTAGAGGGTGCCCTGGTTCTTTTGCACTGGGCCCTTTTGTCTTCCAGAGCTCATTCCTAGATGCCCACACTTGGACCCTCTTGCTCATTTTTCTTTATTGCTCCACATAATAGTGCAGAGTCCCCCAACTCATATGGTTAACAAAGAACTTGGCCTTGTTTGATCCCTCCACTGAAGAAATCACCTAGTATCTTCTGTATTGATCCATGGAGGTCAAAGTCAAGTTAATTATGTGTATCTTGTACACTTGACATATCTTTAATACTTGGTTGGACCTGGTTGAATACATACTTTAAATTTTTCAAGGAGCTTGTTATTATAAACGTCTTAATGAAATGTGGTTGTTAATATTAATACTGTTTATTATGGGGTTTTATTTTTAGCACCTTTTGACCTTTCAACATGCTTGCACCACATTCCATTTTATAGTAGCACATATTTCTGTCCCTGTGACATCTGAGTTTGTGGACAGGAATCACCTCAAAGATTGTATAATCAAAAAGTTTGGTACAAGTATGTGCTGAGGTGTAGGTTTCTTTTGTTTTATGCTTGCTTGTCAGTTTGTTTTTGTTTTGTATTTCTGAAACAGGGTCCTAGTCTAGGCTGGCCTTAAATTTGAGCCTTCTTTAGCTTTGGACTGTTGGGAATGTGGGCATTAATCACACCTGGTCTACATTCTGCATTGCTATTTCTACTTTTCCTTACTCCTCTTCTTAGTGTAGAAAAGTAACATAACAAAATCACCTTGTCCATTTTTCAGCATACAGTTCAGTGATGTTAAACGTATTTAGACAGTGTGGTGGAATCACCACCATACCTCTCCATTAAGTCTTCATCTTCTGAAACCTTTTCCTCTGTAGAGACTTGTGCACTCCTCTTGAAACCATTGTTCTATTTTTGGCAATACAAGCTTGATGACTGGTTTCTCATGCAATATGTTTGTCATGTAGTATTTATGCTTATACAACTGGCTCCATGTAGTATGTGTGAGAATTTCCCCATTTTTAGGGCTGAATAACATTCTGTTGTATGGATAGATCACATTTTGCTTATCCTTCCATCTATCAGTGAGCATTTACCTTTACATTTTAACAATTAGGAATAATGGCATAATGAACATGGATTTACAAAATATCTCTAACACCCTGCTTTCAGTTCTTTTGTCTATACAGCTAGAAGTAGGATAATTTTTATATTCAATTTTAAGTGTATATAATTAAGTGTAGAATATATTTTATTAAGAATATGACAGAAGTGCAGCCGAAATAGCTCAGTTGGGAGAGCTTTAGATTGAAGAATATGACAGAATATTGTGGCTTGCCTCTAAATTTTATATTGTACCCATCATTTCTGAAATATAAATGAGATACTGGACTGGATATAAAACACTGAATTCAAGTCAGAAATGGGTATGTGTCGTGACCACAGGAGCTGAGGAGATGGCTTTAGTAAGTTGCTTCCACACAACTTCTGGAGACTGAGGCTTGCTCGCTAACCAGAGTGTCCCAAATGGGTGAACTCCAGGTTCATTGAGAGACCTTGTCTCAGAAATAGAGAGCAACTCAAGAAGACGCCTGACATTGACCTCTGGCCTCTACATGCATGCTCATAAATATGCATGCATCCACTTTTCACACATGCCTGCACACTTGTGGGTACACGTGCGTGCACCGTGTGGCTGCAAATATCTGACCTGGTTCTGCCTCTCCAGGTGGTCAATGGATGTCCTTATGTTGACAGTGAAAAATCAAAATTCTCACTTCACCTGCTGAGCAGTAGATCTGTTTTTAGAGAGGCTAGGTAAACCCACTCAATGGAAGACAGTGCAGGAAATTTATTTTTGGTTGTCCCTGATTATATAGACTGAGTATTTGTCTTTTATTGAAAAATTTGGAATTTGTTTTATGATACAGAAAAATTATTTATGCATATATGGTGTATGCTGTATGTGTGTGGTGCATGCATGTGCGTGCAGGTATGCATCCCTTTGTTTGCTCATGTAGAGGCAGAGATGCATGTCAGGTATCATCTTCTATCACTATTTGCCTCATTGCCTTGAGGTAGGCGGTCTCTCAGTGAACTAGAAGCTCACAGTATTGACGTTTACAAAGGGGAGTTAGAAATAGGTTGATAAACAATAGTTTATTGGGAGAAAGTACTCATGTTAGGGAGTCAGTGACCAGGTTTGCACTGGAGCAGGACAGACCCTGAAATGCCTCCTAGTCAGCTTAACCAGGTGAGAGAGAGCTGCGTCAGGGCTTCCCTCCTTCTTAAACCCTTGTTACGTAACTGACCAGGCGTGGTCAGCAGCACCTTTAATCAGGGTTTCTCTCTACACTCTCAGTTTTGCTTTGGCTGGCTAGACAATGAGATTACAGGACTACCCATCCCTGACCCTAGTGCTGGGGTTTTATAGGCCTGTGCAACCATGCCTGGATTTTTACATGTGTTCTGGGGTTTTGAATTCAGGGCCTCATGCTTGCAGACCAAGCACTCTTATCCACTGAGCTATCTCCTCAGCCCCAGTATACCTTACTTTTTGAGACAGGATCTCATACTGAACCTGGAGATTAGCTGCTTGGTCAACAAACTTCTCGTACCCACTTCATCCCAACCCCCAGAACTAGAGTGACAGATGCACACTGTTACATCTGGTTTTACTTAGGTGCTAGGGACCTGAACTCAGGTTCTCATGGAGGCTTGCACAGTGAGCACTTTACCCACTGAGCCACTTCCCTAGCCGCTATTGTTCAGTCTTTCAGGTAAATTACACAAGAAGTATCAAATTGGTATGAAATATTTTGCAGTGTGGAATTATTGATACAGAAATACAGCTCTCACCTCAAAGGGAATGAGACTAAGTTTATTCTGAAGCCAAATATTAGTGACTGTGGTCCAAGAACACAGATTCAGGTTACTCTAATTTCTGTGTTCCAGTGTGGTGACTGATTGGTAACATCTTTATAATAACAGAAAAAAGAAATTCAAGTCAAGACACTTTTCAAATACACTTGTAGTTATCTCAGATAGGCAGGTTAGAATAAAGTGGGGAAAACAAAACTAATGGAAACTAGGGTCCTGTTTGCATATCCTAAAGAATTTCTTAAGGCTTAAAAGATGTTAGGCTAATCAGCAGTGGTGGCATACACCTTTAATCTCAGTACTTGGAAAGCAGAGGCAGTTTGAGGCTACCCTGGCCTACAGAGCAAGTTCTAGGGCAGGCAGGGTTTTACAGAAAAACTCTTTCTCTAGAAACAAAACAAAGAAAAGATGTTAGGCCACAAATAGAAGAGGGTAATTAATGGCCATCAAAGGGCTAAAGATGCCCTTAGATATTTTGTGGCTATAGTGTACTCTTTTCTCCAGATCCTTGACTTCTCATTGGTTCCACCTTATTGTTCTTTCTACCTATGGCAGGTGGGAGAGCTGGCCCTCCCTGAGGTCATGAGAGCTATTCCTGCCCCTCACCAGCTGTAGTACTCAGGAGAGTTGGTCCTTGCATCTCACCTAGGCAACACAGTGGAGCTGGCCTTGGTGGTATAGGTGGGCAAACCAGCCCTGCCCCTTGCTCCTTGCTGTTTAGGGTGAAATAGCCAGGGCAATATTGAAGCACTCACCCTGGTGGTGAGGATGGGGGAGAATTGGCAAGCTGACTAACCCTGAAACCCCCAGGCCCAGAACCAGGGCTGTGAGTTGGCCCACCCCATCTGTGATCTGCTGGAGCACATGAAGGGGCTGGTCCTGCAAATCCAAAGCCGTAGGATCTCCACAACACAGAGCAACAACAGGATATCCAAGAGGAGTCCCAATGCGGGCCCAGTATCAATAATGTAGCAGAAATCAGAGGCCTTAAACCATATCAATGACTCTTTGCAATTTACACTTGCAAATACACACACACACACACACACACACACACACACACGGTAAACTGTGACTGTGTCAAACTACAGCTTCCACCAGTTCTTTCTTTCTTTTTCTTTTCTCTTAAATTTTATTTTTTAGGGCAGGGAAGGTTGCAAGAGTGGAGGGTGGATACAAAGGGATGGGGGAGGGGTGAATGGGATCATGATGCATGATGTGAAAGCCACAAAGAATAAATAAAAAGTTACAAACAAGTGCTCAGCTATGTTGGTACTTTTCCTTCATGTTGGAGGGCTTGCACCTTACAGTCCCCCTTCATTTGTGCAGGTGTTAGATGGTGCTGACAGCCAGTATTTAGGCATGCAAATAGGACAGCCACAGGAGGAGGAAGAGGAGGAGGCTGCGGGTGTGCTTTCCAGTGAAGTCTCAGATGTTTTCAGAAATTCTTCTCTGGGTAAGTTTACTTTATATGATGAAAATGTTTACAGCTGTGGATATCTTTATCTTTCCTTCCAAGAAGAAACCTTTGGTTGGCTTGCTCCCTCTCTCCCTCCCTCCCTCCCTCCCCCTCCCGAGTTGTATAAACAGCAGCTAAAAATGGCAATTTAGGCATAATCAGACTTAGATTTAAATCCTTTACCTTAATGTTATTTTTGTGTAAACATATGCATATTTTGATTAGAAACTTGTCACTTAATCATGATTCCTATTTTTAAAGCCCTTCAACAGGCACACTTATTGGAGAGAATGGGCCATAGTAGGCAACCTTCTGACAGCAGTATAGATAAGCTTGTATCAAGAGATGAAGTTGCTGAAGCAAGTGACCCAGAAAGCAAGGTGAGCTTCATAGGCAAGAGCTTGCTTTTGTGTGAGGAGTTGGAATTTCCTTGGTTTCTGCTGTTCTCATTTGTTCCTATCTCATCTCTGGGCTTATTTCTTTCCCCTAGAAACATTGGACACTCTCAGACCTCTGTCTTTTTTTGCCTCTCAAGGGTTACCCATATTCTTAACAGCTGTCTCCTGAGAGTATCTGCACAGTGGTACCCTGTGCTGACGTTTGCCTTGCCTGATAATTCTGTATCATTCCTTCGAGGCTTCTGCAAAGTTTTGTAGCAGTTCTTGTTTTTGTTTACTCAATTGTTTAAAACATCTCTCTGTGTTATTCACTTTACATGCACATTACTCTATTTACAGTAAACTTTAAAAATTCCTTGAAGTCAGGAATGCATTTTGTCATTTAATCCTATCAGTCAAAATGGCATCTTTTGAGAGTGCCCTCCAATTTTCTGTTATATCCTTCTAACCTTCTCTGACCTTGTCTGGTATCTTTTTGTTTGTGTGTTTTTTTTTTGTTTTTTTTTTTTTTTTTGAGACAGGTTCTCACTATATAGCCTTGGCTAGCCTGGAACTCATAGTATCTTCTACATTTCCAGTAAACACTTGCCAATGTGAACAGTGTTTCCTCAGTGCTGTGTTTTAACACCTTCTTGCCCAGTGTACCTTCTCCATACTAAGCTTGTCTCTTGCCACAGCCCTGTGGCCCTGTGTTTTAGGGTTCCAACTGTGTTCATTTTGAGACCAGGCATGGAGGTGGCCAAGTATAGACATCTCTGTCCCTAGCACCCTGGGGTAGTTCATTTTGTTGATTGAACTAGTTTACTTCTCTGTTCTAGCCTTGCCGAATCAAAGGTGACATAGGACAGCCTAATGATGATGATTCTGCTCCTCTGGTCCATTGTGTCCGCCTTTTATCTGCTTCCTTTTTGTTAACTGGGGAAAAAAAAGGTAAGCACAGCAGAGTGGCTGCAGCGTTGAGGGGGTATATACCAGTTTAGAAGTCAGTTTGTTGGTCTGTTGGTACGTTGTTATTGGAGTGAGCTTTATTTTTTTTAGTTGGTGAGTGAGGGAGGAAATGAGAGGGGTGGATTTTGTTTCTTGGAGAAGACTAAAGGGGTCTGGGTGGTTACTTTGCAGCACTGGTTCCAGACAGAGATGTGAGGGTCAGTGTGAAGGCCCTGGCCCTCAGCTGTATTGGTGCAGCCGTGGCCCTTCATCCTGAATCTTTCTTCAGCAAACTATATAAAGTACCTCTTGACACCATGGAAGGTGCTGGTATGTTGAAAGTTTACTTCTTTCCCTTGGTTAATCAGTACTTAAGCTGTCTCATAGTCTTGCATTCTTTGTCTTAGGGCAGTGTGTGTTTCCAGTTAGCTTGTGTGTTTCATCTGTGTTGGCATTCTCCAGATGTGCACATGGTCATGTTCTTAGTCTCGTGACTCCCTTAGGTGCCACATGTGTGGTGGAAACACCCAAGTCATAAAATAGAAATCTAAGAATGTAAGAGCCATTTATATACATACTGGATTTCTTCTTAAATCACAAGCATTAAATCACAATGCATTGTCAAATTGTTCTGTGTCACATTCATCTGGGTCAGAAATGCACATTCAGACTCAGACTGATCAAGACAGTGCCACATCCTGTCTCCCATTGGACACAGTTGTCTTTCTTTCTTTGAGTGACAGGGCAAACCTATGTTATTTTGTTTAGAGTTAACAAATGTATACTAGATTAACAAATGTATACTAGATTATTTTATTCTAATCTTTATTTTCAAATGAAACCTTAGAAGTTTAATTTTATCTGCCAGCCTGGAATCACAGTCTTGAAATTGTGATGTATTGAGATAAATGTCATGTGATGAATCTCAAACCTTTAAACTACAAATATCTTTTATGACTTGAGACATTATAGTCAAGTGCTTTGCAGATGTAAAATGCTCCCTTTTCTTCCTTTTCTGAGAATGAAGCTTTATTTGTAGTATGATTTTGTTGGTGGAGAAGGTACAGGCTGGGTCATTTGTGTCCACAGAGGAACAGTATGTCTCTGACATCTTGAACTACATCGATCATGGAGACCCACAGGTCCGAGGAGCTACTGCCATTCTCTGTGGGACCCTCGTCTACTCCATCCTCAGCAGATCCCGGCTCCGTGTTGGCGACTGGCTGGGCACCATTAGAACCCTGACAGGTAACAGACAGTTTGTCCTGGTATCTTTTCTGGATATTGTTCCCAGGTGCATGTTTCTGCAGAGACATTTCTTGTTCATTCTTCCGGATAGGAAATGCATTTTCTCTGGTGGACTGCATTCCTTTGCTACAGAAAACTTTGAAGGATGAATCTTCTGTCACTTGCAAGCTGGCCTGTACAGCTGTGAGGGTAAGTATAATGTTTTACATAAAGTGTTCCATTGATACAGTTAAATTTGGAGCTAATAGATCACATTTCCATAACCTGCACACAATTTTTAGGGATCTACCATTCAGCTTTTGAAAAACATTGCCATAATATTAAAATATAATAAACTTTTAGTTTTAATTCTTGGCATCTTTATTTGAAACATCCTTTCTCCTAAAGGGGATGTTTAGAAATGTACCTTGTTATTATCAAATATAAAATTTGTTGAATTTTTAAAAGTACTGTTTTAAGATTGTAGACTGTTGAGCTGCAGTGGAATTATGGGTATTACTTAACTGGCCTTGTGTTCATGTCTTTTGTTAAAAGAGCCTTGGCTCCTCAAGTGAGAGTAAGGTGGAACATTTCTTGTCAGCTGGCTTCTAAGTCACAATTGGCTATAGTAGAAAATTTAACCAGAGAAAATCAAAACAAAACACAGTGGCTAAACCTAGGGAGGGAAATATCTTCCCTTTCTAAAATTTAATAACCTCAAAATAATGTTTTTCTTGTTCCAATTTTTAAAAGATTTTATTTTTTAACGTGTTTGTGTGTGAGAGAGAGGGGGAGGGAGGGAGGGAGGGAGTGTGTGGGTGAGAGGTGGGCAGAGGGAGTAAATGTGTGTGTGTGTAAGTGCAGTGGTCAGAAGAGGACACTGGATCCTGCAGTTGGAATTTTGGGTGTTTGTGAGCCACCTGATGTTGATGCTGGGAACCAAACTCAGGTCCTCCAAAAGAGCAGTAAACACTTTTAACCAGTGAGCAATCTTTCCAGCCCCCAGTTCCTGTTTTTAAAAGTTACATTTCAGTCAGTTGTATCTTTTGAGCAAAAGTGGTGTGCCCATAGCACAGGTGCTATGCTGGTAGATAGACTGTGTGTGTGAGCCTTGTATAGCATAATTACAGGATAATGCACCTAGGCTCTGAGGCCGAAGGGGAAGTAGCAGTGCCAGAATCACTTTGTCATCGTCGTCGTTGTCTTCTACTACTACTACTAGTACTACTTCTTCTTCTTCTTCTTCTTCTTCTTCTTCTTCTTCTTCTTCTTCTTCTTCTTCTTCTTCTTCTTCCTCCTCCTCCTCCTCCTCCTCCTCCTCCTCCTCCTTCTTCTTCTTCTGTTTTTCGAGACAGGGTTTCTCTGTATTATTTTAGAGCCTGTCCTGGAACTCACTCTGGAGACCAGGCTGGCCTCAAACTCACAGAGATCCACCTGCCTCTGTCCCCCGAGTGCTGGGATTAAAGGCGTGAGCCACCAACACCCGGCTCACTTTGTTTTCATGTACATCAGAAGAACCCAGTTAACATCCAAGATACTCCTTGATAAAGGTTTCTTGTCCTAATTCTGGGCCTAAGACTTACTTTCATATGGTGCTAGGACTGTGTTGCATTTTTTTTTTCCTGGTAAACTGATGATTAGTGTTTCTGAGAATGTGGCTTAGTAGTCATGTAATGGGAGGCAGAGAAACAAAATTATGTGTAATGGGCACATTGACTTTTAAACTCAAACATAGTAAGACAAACATGTATCTTCAGTACTTTTGAGAACCAATAGTATTGATGTTGTTGCTGCTTAAAAATAGAACAGGAGAAAACAGGTGCATGTGAAAACGGGGGTTTCTGTCCCTCCTATTCCCACAACCGATTTGCCCCAAATAAACACACAGAGACTTTTATTAATTGTAAACTATTTGGCTGATGGCTTAGGCTTCTTACTGGCTAGCTTTCTCTTACTTATTAACCCATTTCTATTAAACCATGTATTGCCACAAGGCTGTGGCTTATCCATAATTCTGCATGTTACTCCTTCGGCTGCATGGTCTCTCTCTCTCTCTCTCTCTCTCTCTCTCTCTCTCTCTCTCTCTCTCTCTCTCCCTCTCTCCTCCTCTCCCCAGAATTCTCATCCATACTTCCCGCTTATACTTCTGACTCACTACTGGCCAATCAGTGTTTTATTTGTCAACCAATAAGAGAAACATATATACAGAAGAACAACCCCCATCATGCATGTATAAGAGGTGCTGACTTAAGATGAGGTGTCTGATCCTGATGCCTTCTGCCTTGGGCTGGATTTTTCAGCACTGCGTCCAGAGTCTTTGCAGCAGCAGCTACAGTGACTTGGGATTACAACTGCTCATTGATATGTTGCCTCTCAAGAACAGCTCCTACTGGTTGGTAAGGACTGAGCTGCTGGAAACCCTTGCAGAGATTGACTTCAGGTAAGGGAACTGAGTTCAGATTCACAAGTTCAAATTAAGAACTGAAAGTCTTGAAGTATCTGCAGTTGGCATGCCCGATACGATCATCTGCAGTTTAGCTAGAGAACATTTGATAGTTCACAGTACTTTTTGTTGAACTTTGAACCTGGAGATTTTGATACTAGAAGTATATTTTTTTGCTTGTCTTAGTTTTCTAGATGATGGGAATTTTAAAAATAGAAGTTATTTTTATTATTTTTAATTGTGTGTAAACATGTAGTCTGTATTTGGGCGTGTGGGTATGTTCACATGAGTGCAAGTGCCTGAGAGAAGGCCAGACAGGTATGACATCTGGAGCAGGGTTAGATTGTCCCAAGCCTCCTGACATGGTTGCTAAGGACTGAACTCCAGAAAGTATTCTTAATTGCTGAGCCATCTTTCTAGCCCCTTTAATATATTTTTTGAAACATTTTTCAAACTTTCAAAAAAGCTATTAAGTGTGCTTTTTAAAAATCTACTTACCTTTATTCTGATTTAAGGGAGATAGATGATTAGTACTTTGTTACAATTAAAAAAAAAACAAAAACCAACAACTTGAGAGCTTGGGGAGATGGTATGTTTGCTGCAAAGCAGGACTTGAGTTTGATACCAGCACCCAGGTGAAAGCAGATACCGTAATCCTAGCAGTGGAGAAGTGGAGATAGGTTGGGTCCCTGGGCCTTCCTGGTCAGCCCCCTTGCCTAGTTTAGTAGGAAGCTCTAGGTTTAGGGAGAGACCCTGTCTCAAAAAACAAGGTGGCTTTTCGCCAAGAAGACACTGAAATTGAAGACAAGCTCCTGCCCTTGCCCCCCAAAAGCTGATGCCAAAGTGAAGATAGTGAAAGTCCAGAAGGCAGTGTAGAAGGTATCTATTTATACATCACCCACCTTTCCCTTGGGCAGCTGAAATACCTTCACAAGAACATTCCTGGGTGAAACAAAGTTGAGTGTTCCACCATAATCTAGTACCTCCCGATCACTGAGTCAGCCATGAAGAAGCTAGAAGGCAGCTGTGTTCATTGTGGTTGTCAAAGCCAACAAGCACCAGATCAAACCGGCTGTAACAAACTATGACATCAATGTGGCCATAGTCAATACCCTTATCAGGCCTGATGGAAAGAAGGCTTATGTTCGACTGCTTCCTGATTATGATGCTTTGGATGCTCCCAATAAAATTGAGATTATTTAAATTGAGTCCAACTGGCTAATCTTAAATTTTTACAAAACCATTAATATCTCCCCCCAAAAAACCTGAATCATAAAACCCAACAAGGTAGATGGCTCCTAAGAAACATCTGAGTGATCTCTGCACACCTCGAACGCAAACACACACACACACACACACACACACCACCTACCTCCAAACAAAAATCCCCCTAAGTGTAGCATGTTGTAATTTTCATTTCCTTAGAGTAAGTTTTGGTTAGAGATGTTTTCTTTTAACAGTTTTCTTAGAAGGGAATTGTACCTTCATTATTCAGATTTTTATGTGTGTTGTTACTGTTCTTTGCTTGCTTTTTGATTTTTGTTTGTTTTTTTGCCTGCATGTGTGTGTGTGTGTACCATGGGCACCACATACATGCAGTATCCATGGTGTTCAGAAAAGGGAATTGGAACCCTTGGAACTGGTGTCACAAACAGTTGTGAGCTGTCTGTGTCTTCTGGGAGTCTGGGAACCCTGGTCCTCTGGAAGAGCAGCCAATGCCCTTAACCATGGAAGCATCTCTCCAGCTTGTTTGATTGGTTTTTAAAGCCACTGTAGACCCTGTAGGTTATTGTATCCCTTCCTTAGAATATCTCTGAAGTATTACTCTGTCCCTGCGATTAAGACTGTGGAATGGTACACTCAGCTAGTCACTTGAGTGGGAGTTGCAGTGTGTTGCCCTCTCTGTGTTTGAGCTCATTCCTGGAACATTTTTGAAGTAGTAGATGTGTATTTTGATGTAAGGCTGCTTATCCAGTGCTAACTTACTTAGTCAGGAATTTATAGAAGATTGTGAATCAATTTAAGTACATTTGAGCTGCCATTGAGAGACTTCCAGGGCACTGTGGTGAGCTCCTTTCATGTTTAGCAGCCTGAAGGCTAAAGGCCAGCACTATGTTTGCTAAATGAATGACATTACTGTTGAATATGCTCTTTTGTTAGGCTGGTGAGTTTTTTGGAGGCAAAAGCAGAAAGTTTACATCGAGGGGCTCATCATTATACAGGGGTAAGAAGTTCATTTTGTGATACTATGGTTCCGATCTTCTAGAAATGGTTTTAGCAGGGTCTCCCTAGTGGTGTGAAGTTTTGCTGAATGCCTGTGTTGTTATGTATTTAACTCATTATGTCATGAGAGTTGTCAGTATATGACATGAATTTAAGTCATTCTGAGTTCTTTCTAACTAGCTTTCAAGAATGCCTTCCTTATCTAGCTGGATTTGATGGCCTGTGTTTCCAGTACCAGCACTTGGGAGACAGTGGCAGGCAAGATCTGTGAATTCAATGCCAACTTGATCTAAATAGTTGGGTTTCATACTAGCCAAAGCCACATAGTGAGACTGTACCTCAAAAAAATATTCAAAACCCTCCTACCGAAACAACAAGAAAACAACAACAACAAACTCAAAAAATATCTTACATCAATTGAGTATAGAAATTAAACTTATTTTTGTTTTCTGTCTCTCTAAAGTTTTTAAAACTGCAAGAACGAGTGCTTAATAATGTGGTCATTTATTTGCTTGGAGATGAAGACCCCAGGGTTCGACATGTTGCTGCAGCATCGCTAACAAGGTGTTTACTAGTATTCATCCCTTTGCTGTTTTGGTTGAAATAGAGTATGAGAGTGGGAAAGGTAGATGGAATCAAAAGGCTCTCAAGAAATATGCTTTGATTTTCTAAAACTAATTTAATCCCTTTTAATTATCTAAAAATACTTACTAAAGTGATGATTAAAAAAAAAAAAAAAACACTAGCCTTCTATTGCTTTCATTGTCAAAATTTGGAGTTTAGAGAGCAGCACTAAGAAGGAAAGAGTCCTTATTTCTGCCTCTTGGATGTGATTGATGTCCACAGCCCTGAATGCTGTGGTGGGCATAGGTTTGGGTTAGCCATCTGGGGAAAGGTGTGGTGATGGGTGAATTTCATGCACTTTCTGTATAGATCAGCTTTCCTTTCATGGCAGGCTTGTCCCAAAGCTGTTCTATAAATGTGACCAAGGACAGGCTGATCCAGTAGTGGCTGTAGCAAGAGATCAAAGCAGTGTTTACCTGAAACTCCTCATGCATGAGACGCAGCCGCCATCGCACTTCTCTGTCAGCACCATAACCAGGTACATTGCCCACAGCACCATGACTTGTCAGCAAAGTGTGCCTCCCATGTTGCCTGCTTTCCTGTTCTCTTTTCTTAAAACCACACACAGCCTTTAGAGGAGGAGGCCATCATTCATTAACAGGATATTTATTTGACATCATGATTTGCCACGACCCCCTGTTGTGTGTCCCACTTCAGACTCACACAGCCATGTCCTCAGTCTTGCAGTGAGTTCTTTAAGTTCTTCATACTGAGAATTGTGTTTTTGTTTGTGACTGTCACATGCCATCTGAAAACTTGTACATGGAAAATTTTTACTTTTTTTAGTGTTCCTGCTAACGAATGGGTGGGCTAATACCAAGGGTCAGACTGCTAGATGCAGTGGTGATTCTCAGGCTTATGTTGCTAGATCATGGCCACAATACCTGTTCTATCTGGCTGGTAGGCTGGTGGAGCAGAAAGACTCCAGTGAATGTATATGTTTCATCCGGAAACTAGTCTGCAAAGATTGCAGTAACAGTAGTAAGATGTGCTTGGAACTCTTTTGTATTTTAAATTCTTTTTAAGTCTGGATTCACAGGATATCTTTCTTTTTACTGATTTGAAACAACAAACAAAAAACAAAAAACTTGACCAATGACTTCTAAGCTCACATGGTAACTTGATCATTTCTTTTTTTCTGACTTTGGAACTCAGCTAATCAAATTTTCAAGTTATTACTTCTAAATGACTGTCATCTTTTCTCATGGAAACACCAACTTGAGAATAAAAAAATAAACCAACTAAGCAAACAAACAAAACAAAACAAAACAAACAAACAAAAAAACTAGCAGCACACTATAAAGTAAGTGTGGGGCACCTGGTGAGGAAGAAGTCAGGCTTTTTTTTTTCTTAATTGATGAGCAAACTTATTCCAGTTTTAATGGGAGGACCTTTTGCATATTAAGCAAGTACTCTACTTCTGAGCCATACACCAGCCTCATTTTCAGTCTCTATTTTACTTTTAAGTCAATGATGCTTTAATTTCTTCTGGACTTGAACAATAAACTTTTAAATGCCATTTGATGTGAAAAAAATATGCTTTAAGAATCTCTGTATTTTTCTTACTAGAATCTATAGAGGTTATAGTTTACTGCCAAGTATTACAGATATCACCATGGAAAACAACCTCTCAAGAGTTGTTGCTGCAGTTTCTCATGAACTCATTACATCAACTACCCGGGCACTCACAGTAAGTCTTCTGCCTGGGCCTTGTATGTCTTTATGGCCACAGTGGTTTGGTTCTGTGTAGAAATCCTTTTCTTGAGGTGCTTGATAAGGAAATGCACTTCTTTCAACAGACTCCAAAGTAATGCATACTCACTGTAACCTAATGCATCCTACCTAGAGAAGTCATCAAATACAAACTCTAAAATGGTCATGTGGGTGGTTCTGATCCTGATGACCTGAATTTGGTCTCTACGACCCACACAGTGAAGGGAGAGAATGGATGCCCACAAGTCCTCTGACATCTATATGTGCATATGACATATGTGTTTGTTGTACCCCCAAATATAAATTTAAAAACACTATAATGTGAACTAGTATGTACCTGAAGTTTAGAATGCCTGTAGTATAATGCCTGTAGTATAATTAATTGATTACGACTTGGTAATTTATACTAAGGGAATAGATCAGAAATGCCAACTAAGTTTTTGTTTTGTCTTAAATTACGATGAAATTGGAAAAGAACTAATATCTAAGAATTATTATATGCCATTTACAATAAATGCTAACATAGAGTAATATGTTAGACACATGTTGATATGCTGCTTTGGAGAATTTACTATGGAGAGATATAAAAACTCTTGGCAATGTAGTTTGATACCAGGTTAGAAAAGTAATATTCATGTATATACAGTCTTTACAAACTCAGAAAAGGGACAAGCGGAGAAGTGGTAGGATGATTTTTAGGATTGTAGTTAACTTTCATTTTTTTATTTGTATTTTTTAAGTATTGCTAAATTTTCTAAAATAATCAAATGTGACTTTTATAATCAGGAAGAGCAATATTATTCGGCAGTAATCATTCCTAGAAAGACCTTTTTGTTTATGTGATGGAAAAAAATACTTGGACATTATAGAAACTCAACTGTCTTGCTAACTAAATGCCTTTCAAATTTAAATTTGTTTAAGATTTTAATTGTGATTTACACCATATCAAGCACCTCTCTGATCTGGAGATTTATGTTAGTCAGCTTGAGTTGAAGTCTAAAGGGAGAAAGGGAGAAACTTCCAAGGAGACTTTGAATGCAGGATAATTAGAGTTCCTGGAAGGAGCTGCTGGCTGCCTTGCCTTGGACTATAACAATGGTTTTACTAATTGGTGTGTCTAGCTTTGTTGTTGAAAGCATGTATGTGTTTGATGGTGGGATAGCTACCCTGTAGTCATTTACAGATCTCAGTTTTCATTTCATTTTGTTTGTGTATAGGTCTAAGAGGTTTAATTCAGTATGCCTGTGGTGGTGTTTGGGTGTGATTTTTTTCCTTTCCTTTCTCCTGCAGTTTGGATGTTGTGAAGCCTTGTGTCTGCTTTCAGCAGCCTTTCCAGTTTGCACTTGGAGTTTAGGTTGGCATTGTGGGTATGTATATTCCTCAAGTCAACCATCCACATAGCCACAAGCACAGCTGCTGGGACCCCCCCCTTTTTTTTTCTACTCTGATCCCCTCCCCTCTCCTCCCTTCTCTTCCCTCTCCCTCCTCTCTCCTCCTGTCCCCTCCTTTCCCCTCTTCTCTCCTCCCCTCCCTCTCCTCTTCTCCTTTTCCATTCTTTTCCTTTTATGTTGGATCTGTTTGGCTTTTTTGAAAGATATATGATGGAATACTTGTTTCTGCTATTGAGGTATGTGAAATGAGTGAAGGAACTATTGGAGACACTTAAGCGGTTGTGACTCTAATGAATATCAGGTGCTCATGAGCATCTTTGGGGGTCTGAGGGTATGATCTGTGGATTCAAGGTATTTTCATATGCAGATAAAAACTTTCTAATTAGTTTGATTCTTTCTAAAATTACTAGGTAACAAAAGTCAGTTATGACTTAGCATCTAGAATTGTGATGAGCTACAAGGGTGTGCATTAGGAAGTAGTATACTTCTGTTTCCCTACAAAAGAATTTTCCTAATTAGAAGACCTACTGCCAGCTAGGGATTATTTAGAATTTTCTCAGCACTAATGAATAAGCCTTCATTTGTGTGCTGAGAAACATTTGTATGCTGAGAAACTTTGGAGCTTCCCATCAAAACTGGAAGGAAGTATGCAGATTTCTTCTGAGGATCAGTATGTAGTAAACTAACAGTCCTTTGAAGTGATTGCTTTATGACCTAGAGTGATTGCTTCTGTTCTTTCCATGAATCCTGAATGAACAATTACAGGTTCTAGCCATAGGGCCTATAGTAGACTTGACTTTTGAGCAACTTTGACATTGGAGTACAGTCTGCTAAATCAAAAAGGGAAGAAAAAACCTTATCAGAATAAGCATTCTAGTTCACTCAGTGAAGTCTACTGCATGATTTCATTTCTCAAATGATTTTTATGGAGTCATGATTTACAGGAAAGGTGTTAGTTGGTTAGCAGTTTTGAAATGATAGTGGCTCACACCTCTAATCTCAGCACTTGTTAAGCAGAGGCAGGATGATTGACACAGTTTGCAGACCAGTGTAGCTACATAGTGTGTTCCAGGCCACAGGAATAAGTGAGAGTGAGACCCTGTCTTTTTTTTTTTTTTTTTTTTTTTTTTTTTTTTTTTTTTTTTTTTTTTTTTTTTTTTTTTTTCACACAGGGGTTTTTTTTTTGTTTTT